CTGCTTCTCGGTCTTGTCCCTTGTGGGGACACCTCTTCAGCCACCTGGAAGGCACAAACTGCCACCCAGACACCCTGCTGCCACGTGGAGCTCTAATTGGAGAGGAAGTTGCCAGAGCTTTCCAGAATGTACCGATACATCCTGCAAGTAGCGTGCGCATCGTACAGGCGGCTCTGGCGTTGGTTTGTCGTGTGGGAAGCACGTTGGTTTCCTGTGCACACACTGTGCGAGGGGGAGAGAGGAAGGCCTTTGACGAGAGGCATTGCCGCAGCGGCTGCAGCCCTGGCTTAGCCGCAAGACCCGTGGTGAGGATGGCACAGGACGGGTGGTGTTTTGTTCTGTGGCACGTACGGTCGCTGGGAGTCGGACTACGCTCAACAGCACCTACAGCAACATGGGTTATTTGCGTGGGTGCCTTATGTGAGACGAGAAAGTAGCTCTGTCTATTGGCACGCCAGTCTGGGGAAGGAGGTTGGTAATGGCCTCTTACGGGTCTCGCTGGGTTCCCCTGCCCGCGGCCCGGGGCCGGGTGCAGACGCCACACAGAGCACGTGGCCCTGACAAGAGACGTGCCTCTGGGCCCGAGCTTGGGTGTTCCTTCGACAGCTCTCAGCCTTCTTCCTCACACAGAGAGGCGCTGTCTCCATAGATGCTGCTGTGAAGACCAAGGATCTCCTTGGGTCAACAGCTTAGCTGGCTGCGTGGCAGACGAGAAGTGCTTCATAAAGAGCAGGTACTCTGCCACACAGTCACCTAGCAGTTACACAACGGGCTGCTCACTGCAAGGTCAGCAGTGTGAAGCGACCGGCTGCCCCTCGGGAGAGAGACGGGGCTTTCGACTCCCGTAAAGAGTTAGTCTCAGAAACTCACGGGGCAGTTCTGCCCTGCCCTGTAGGGTCGCTATCAGTCGGCACTGACTTAATGGCAGTGACATTTCTGATGCCCAGGGTGGTGTATTCGTTAACTGAAAGGTTGAAGAAAGCCCTGGCAGTCCTCGTCCGAAGCCTGAGCCGGTGCCAGCCTGCACATGTGAGGTGACGGAAATGGGAACGGTTTTGTCACCAGTAAATTTACCATCGTGAAAAGCAAACACCCGCTGCATCACAGGGCCGCACCGGTATGCACAGGGCGGTATGCACAGGGCGGTATGCACAGGGCGGCCGTGAGTTGGGGGAATGTTTGAACGGACCGGAGGATGAAGGAAGGCTGAGACGCCTCGGGCGGCAGTCTTTGGGGTGTCTCAGACTGGGCCCCCACCCTCCCTGCTCGCCCTTGCAGTCCAGAGGAGAGGAGCCTTGGGTGGTGCGTGCATAGTTGTAGGCAGTGGCTGCTTCAGCAAGGCCAAGACTCAACCTGCTTCCACTTTTTCCTGAATACTTTGGCTCACCAGCTCCCCGCACCCCAGGGCATGGCAGGGGCAGCCGTTTCGCTCAGACACACACACACCCCTCCTGCCTCCCACCCCAGATAAGTACCCAGCCCAGCACCTGTCAGCCCAGGGATACAGCTGCCCTTCGGCTCAGCCAGGGCTCAGCAGGTGAAAGGCGTCCCAGTGAGCCCCCTGCCCCTGCCCCTTGGGACTGGAATAAAGAGTTCTGGGAGGCAGAGGGCTGATGTGGCTGGTATCAGCTTCCAGGATAATAGAGGAGCCCCCAGGGGAGGGAGATGGTGAGGGGCGGGGGAGCTCAGAGGGAGGAAGTGGTGACCTAGTCCCAGGAGTGAGTGAGGCAGGGAGCGGAGGCCAGAATCTGGGGTGTGGGGCTGCTGGGCTGGTAGTGTGTCGGTGGTGTCAAGGCAGCCCTCTTGTCCCGCAGGCCCACAGTGTGGGGTTGTTCAGTGGCTTGCCTGCTGGGCAAACAGCTCTCCACCCAGCCCTGGAGGTGAAGCTGGATCGATGTGAAGGACCACCACCCCAAGGGGCGCCCCCTCAGTCCTCATACCTCCATTGTCTGCAGGGGAAACCGAGGCTGTAATATGTTCAGTCAGTTGGCCAGAGTCACAGGGCTGGCTACAGTGGGCCGGTCTTAGTGTCCCCAGGCTTGCTTTTCTTCAGGGCCTTTACCTGGGTGAGTACTTACACACCCAGTAGTGTGGTTGTAGGCTTCACGTCCATCAGTACTGTAAGACCGAGGGCTTACCGTGGCCTGGTCCCCTCTTCTCCACTGACTCCCCAGACACCTTGCACATAGTAGGCGCTCTCTGATGTGTGAGCAGGTGAAATCATTAATTCTCTGATTGTTTGAATAAGACCTGTCCTTGGGCCCTCCTGCCTGGGGTGTGGGCCCAGCACCCCAGGAGTGCTGGTGTTGCCATGGTGATGTAGGAGCATTAGCATCAGTGGCTCACTCAGGTGGCCTGTCAGCTCCCTGCATGTAGCCGCTCTGGCTGTCGGGCCCAGAGTTTGTCCCTCCTGCTTGGCAGGGTGGGGGGGGCGGGGGGCTGGAAGGCGAATTCTACACAGACAGACGTGTGTATGTGATGGGCGTGTGGATGTATTGAGTGATTGTGAACGAGTCTGTGAGGGTGTGCTGGAATGTGGGTGATGTCTGTGTGTGGTGAGTAGAGTGAGGGTGGTGTGTGTACATGCCACATGTGTGAGGAGAGCGTGGTGTGTGAATGCATGTGTGATGTGTAAATGATGTGTGTTTTGTGTGTGATGTGTTTGGTATGTGTGAGTCAGTACATCTATGTGTGTGCACGTGTGGTGTGTGTAATGTGTATCTGTGTGAGGTGTGTGTCATTGTGGTGTGTGTCTGTCTGCATGTGGGGTGTGTTCATGATGTATCTGTGATGCATGTGACTTTGTACAGGGGGCAGCGTCCCTGGTGTGACCGCCCTGGTGGAGTGTTTGCTAGAGGTATGTCACAGGAGCCCTGGTGGAATTGAGGTTAGACACTGGACTGTGAGCTGCAAGGTCAGCAGTTCGAAACCACCAGCTACTCCTCAGGAGAGAGTGGGGCTTTCTGCCCTGTAAAGACTTCAACCTTGGGAACTCCCAGGGTGCTTCTGCCCTGTCCAGCAGGGCGCCAGGAGTCAGCCCCCTCTCGATGGCAGTGAGCTGTTTTGTTGAGTTTGTGTGTGTTGGAGCAGGGGCCTAGGCCGTGGGAGAAGGGTTGGGCGGGGCCAGCTCCTGGGCGTGGGGTGGCGGTGTGGCACCATTGAGGGTGTCCCAGCTGAGAGCTGGGCCTTTGAGTGGTGAGTTGTGAGTTGTGAGTGAGGTACGGGAAGGAGTAGTTACGCACTGAGTACCCAGAGGCAGACCCATGGCTATCGGGGGGACTCAGACTCGCAGTGTGACCCTTTGGTTCAGCGGCTCCCAACCTGTGGGTCGTGACCCCTGTGGGGGTCGAACAACCTTTCACAGGGTCACCCGATTCATAAACAGTAGCAAAACGACAGTCATGAAGTAGCAACAAAAATAATTGTATGGTTGGAGGGCACCACATGAGGCACTGTATTAAAGGGTCGCGGCATGAGGAAGGTTGAGGACCACTGCTTGGGTCAGACTTGAACCCGTTTCCCGGCTGTGAATCTTGACTGGAGCTGAGGGCCACGCCTACCTCCCCCGAGAAGCGTCTGGTGTGTTTGAGCCGCCCGCCTCTGGGTTCATGGCTGAGCGCTTACCCAGTGCGCCACCAGGGCTCCGTGGTGGAGCAGACCTCTGCACAGCCCGTGCCCCCCGGCACTGCAGTTTCACAAGCGCAAGCTGTGCACCCGGCAGGCTGGCATCGCGCGGGCCCATTGGCGCCGCTCTCCCCACTGGGCTGTGTCTCTCAGGCTGTGCACAGTGACACTCGCTGCCCACGTGATAGATATGAGTAGTGTCAACCCCACTTTTAGATCCCCGGGAAACCAGGAACAGGTGGGGGGCGGGCTGTTGCGACGTGCGCTTTGCTGCAGCGGCCTGGGACTGAGCCCCACGTGTGCATGGATGGAGAGCCGGAATGATGGGCTGTGGGCTGTGCCGGTGGCGCCTGCCCCCGAGGATGTGGTGAGGGAGTGGGTGGGGGGCGGAGACCCCGAGGCCTTTCCTTGGGCACGGCCTTTGGGGAGCTCAGCAAGCCCAACAGGGCCTTGACTGATATTGGGTTTCATCTCGGGGCTCTGTGGCTCCTGGGTTCAGCCTCTGCACATTGGGGCAGGTCAGCGCTGGGGACGGGCAGGGAAGCTAGACTTCCTGGGTGCTTCCCAGACATCCCAGGGCAGCCATTGCCAACTGCCTCTCGGCTTCCGAAAGCGTTTTCCTGGCCTCGATGTCCGGAGTTGGATGGGTCTGCCCATGCTCTCCAGCCCTGTGCCTCACCCGCTCTGAGCCCCTGTCGTGTGAGGCCCGCCACTAGCAAGTGCCCTTGACACACATGTTAGAACTTCCACAAATGCTGTGAAGCAAGCGGATGACTCCCTGAGGACAGTGCCCTGCGTCCCCCCAGCAGCCCCTGGCTAAAGACATCCCCTACGTCCTCACAGCCCTGTCCATGGCCCCACAAAGCCCAGCAGGAAAGTACCCAGGCCTCCCCCGGCCTCTGCAGGCCCCGTCAGTTCCCTCTGTGGCTAAAGAGGACACCTGGGGCCCAGCAGGGCTGGATGGGTTTCCCCTTCCTGGCTGGCCCCTGACATGCCAACTGTCTGTTAGTGGCCTGAGACTTGAACAGGCTCCACAGTCTCCTACAGCCTGTTCTCTGTTTGGTGAGCCCCTCACTGTGCTGGGAGGACAGTGTGGGGGCCCTACTCATGGAGTGTCACTCAGCCCCTGCCCTAAAGTCTAAGGGGAGAGGAAAAGGGCTCCCCTCTGCAGTTTTCCTCGTCAATCCGAGGGGTGATAGGAGCCCCCACTGATCCCATATCTATGCTGGCCTTGGCTTCCTGGCTTCTCGTGCTGCTTCCACGCTCCACAGGCCGGCAGCCACTGGACACCCTCTCGCTGAAGAGCAGCCCCAGCATGGCCCGGTGCTCACCTGGACTGCGCTCCAGTCCAACCCAGGAATGCCTCTCTCTTGCAGGGAACACCAACAGCATCTTTGCCTTGGACTACATCAGCGGAGCCCTGACCTTGAACGGGCTGCTGGACCGGGAGAACCCTCTGTACAGCCACGGCTTCATCCTGACTGTGAAGGTAAGGCCACTCATCCAGGTAGACAGGGCCCCAGGCCAGTGTCCCAGGCCCTGATGCCCACCCCAACCATGTCCAATGCTTCTGCACTGACTCCTGGCACTTCTGCCCGCGCCCTGTCTGGGAGAGACCAACAGTTATCCGGAGTGGGCCGTGCCTGGGACCTGCCTGGTCTCCTCCCCACATTGAGGATGAGGAGGTGGAGGTAGAGGAAGGTTACATTGTCAGACCTGTGACATGGTTGGTTACAAGGTGTAAGTGCATCTTATAAAGCTCCTGGCATTCAGTAGAGACTTGGCCCAGAGTCCTGACTGATATTCCATGATTCCAAGTTCCCTGTGCAGCCAAGTTGAATTCCTGCGTGTACCCACCTCTGCTCTCTTGTCCCATCTCAGAATCTCACCTCTTCTCTTCAATCGGTATCTGATTAGAAGCAGCCACATAGTGCCAGGGTGACCAAAGTGGCCGGAGCACCACCAAGAGGGGTTCATGAAATCCACTTTAACTAGAATCAGTGATGTCCTCAGCCTTCTCTGGGAAACCCATCTCAGGGCATGGATCCTGCCCAGGCCCAGGCAGAGGCCTGAGCCCAAGCCCGAGCCTGAGCCGGCAGTTGAGAGATGGGCACAAGGAATAAGGAAGGAGAGGGGCTTCCTTTGGCATAGGAGGATGGTGCGGCCCACCTGGTCCTTAGTTGCTCTCCATGACCTTGAAAGGGTCCAGAGCAGTGGTGGCTTTCTTAGCCTCTGCTCAAACTCTAGGAGTCCCGGGTGGCACAGTGGTTAGGCATGCAGCCGCAAGCCAGACGGCCAGCAACCCACCAACCAGCCACTCCATGGGCTCATGCGGACACGAGCCCTTCCCAACAATGGCCTCTCTGGGAGAAAGATGTCGCAGTTTGGGAACTCTGGGAGCAGTTCTACTCTGTCCTAAGCAGTTGTTATGAGTCAGTACCAACCCAAGAGCAGTGGGTTTGGTTTGGGATTTGAGTGGGCCCCTGACTCCCCCACTCCTGGCCCTCCCTTCTCGGTCTCTACTCCCCTTATCAATGAACAAGGTGTCCTCCAATGGGCGAGACCTGCATGCTACTCCCTGGACTGGCATGAACTCACTCACGGTGAGAGCCAGACCTCCACAGTCTCATCTTTGTATAGAGCGGCGAGGGTGGAGGCAGCAAGCTCCCAAAGAGGGCTGTGCGTCTGAACCCCCAGGGCAGGGTGGGGGTTGCGGGGGGAGCTGCTGAAAGGCCTGTTCCTGGATCTCACCCCTAGAGATGCTGGCTCCCCTACGAATCTGGGATAGGACTGAGAGGAGTTTGTTGAACCCCAGACCTCTCCTCGGGGCCTAGAGCCTGGGTGCCCTCCTATCCTGCTCCTGTGTCTGACCCCCTGTCTAGCACAGTGTCCGGTCCATAGCAGATGCTCAACTAAATCCTGACCTACTGCTTGCACACAATCCCTTTGCCTCGATTTCTGAAACAGGCTCCTGGCATCCCCAGATGAGTCATCAAACCTGTCTTGCCCTTCCCACCCCATGCTGTCCTCTTAGAAGATTCTAGAATCCTACTACCTGAGTTTGAAGCCTGCCCTAGCTGGGTGCCCTTGGGCCACTTAGTTAGCCCCTCTGAGTCTCAGTTTCCTCGTCCCCAGTCAAAGGAGGATTCTAAGCCTAGGACCGTGCTTCGGGGACTGTGGCGAGGGTCCAGCAGGATCCCATGTGGAGAAAGCTCTCGGTCAATGACATCGGTCATGATTACAGCTGCTTACCCCACCCCCACCCGGACCGCAGGGCACGGAGCTACATGACGACCGCACCCCATCCGACGCCACCGTCACCACAACCTTCAACATCCTGGTTATTGACATCAATGACAATGCCCCCGAGTTCAACAGCTCCGAGTACAGCGTGGCCATCACAGAGCTGGCCCAGGTCGGCTTCGCCCTCCCGCTCTTCATCCAGGTGGTGGACAAGGATGAGGTGAGTCCCCCGAGGGCAGGGCAGACCAGACCCACAGCCCTGCCCAGACTGCGCGCCACCCCCAGAACCTCGGCTATCAAACAGATACACACCTGGCTGCAGCCCGGCCCCACCGTGTCCTGAAAATACATAAGGCCCTACAAATCTGCGGTCCCCCCTCTGGGGCGACTCCTCTGTAAACTGCCTGTGAGCAAGCACCTCCTTTCTGACTTAGGAATCAGAGACACCGTGGCTCTGATGTCCTGGGATGTGGTGCGGCATGCGTACCACGGACCCTTTACAGGATAGAGATTTACCATTGGCCTGTTCTGCACACCCTGGCGGATCGCCTGGTGCCCAGCGGGGTGGGGTGGGGGTGCACCCAGCTTTAGGGGCTCCTGTATTCGTGAGCTCTGGTGGCACAGTGGTTACGCGTTGGATTGCCAACAGCAAGGTTGGCGGTTTGAAACCACCAGCTGGTTTGCAGAAGAAAGAGGAGACGTTCTACTCCCGTAAAAAGTTACAGCCTTGGACACCCACAGGGGCAAGTCTGCCCTAGAGGGTCACTGCGAGTCAGCACTGACTGGATGGCCAGGAGTTTATTTGTGTTTGTAGTCAGCAGAACTTGGGCAGAAAGTTTGATCTCCCTCCGGTGGACAGTGGCCCTGCCTCTCCCGGTGACAAGCACAAGGGACATAAGGGGATTTGAGAGGATCGGGAGGAGTTTGGGATCACTGCATCTCTGCCCAAAAGCCTGCCCCGGCTGAGCCTAGTTTTGGAAGGGAAGTGGGCATTGGCCACGAATGAGGGAGCATGAAAGGGGGGACAGGGGGAGGGAGGTGCTGAGGGCCTGGCCTGTCACCATCTGCAGGGGTTTCTTTGTCCTTTAGGACCCTGAGCCTGTCCCCCAGCCTGGTTCCTCTGGCCCATCTCTGAAACCGTGCATCCACCTCTTTGTATTAGCACAGCTCTGCCACCCAGTACACGCAGGCACACTGCTCAGAAATTCCAGTAGGTTTTCCAGCCTGCTGTGCTTCCCTCCAATTACTCCTCCCTCGGCCCACAGCCTTGCCACAGGCAGGCGTCCGCCCTCCGTGCTCTGCGGCTGAGCAAAGCGCCCAGCAGGCTGACCTGAGCCCTCCCACGTCTGCTCCCCTTCGCCCCAGTCAACGTGGTCCCCACAAGAAAGAGGGGCCCATGCGTGCGTCCACACGTGCTCCTCCTGCCCCTGCATAGGCTTTCCACGGGCACATCTGGAGCCCCCCCTGTTTACACGGAGCAGTGTGGGCCCCGGGAGGAGTCCAGGAAGGGCAGCCCTGCTCCAGAGGAGTCTGTTCCGTTTCGCGGCCGCGCTGTTCCGACGCGTGTCAGAGTGGGACTGCACTCCCAAGGGCTCCCAGGGCCTGCTCTGGGGGGCAGGGGTGGGAGAAGCTCGGTGAACAGCTGAGCACCGTTCGCCGTGCATCCCACCAGGGGCCCCATTGAGGACATACACAACATGGAGTCGTTTTAAAAGGTAGCGTGGTACCGTCAGTGGTCATCCGGTGTGTGTGCCTGGAGCGCAGGCCTCTCCTCTAGGGACTGCTGGGGAAGGACAACCTCGACCATGGGAGGGCCGGGCCCTTCACCTCAGAACGCTAACCCCACCCAAGAGCGGCGAGCCACTGAGCGCCCCCGTGGCCAAGTCAGGGAGGGCTCCCTGGACTCAGAAGAGGAAGGAGTAGCAGGCCTTCTGGGGGGAGGGGCGCAGGGACTGTG